GTTCAATTCATATTGCTTTATTGGCATGACATCCTGAAAATAACAGTAGAGTACTGGCAGCTGTGGTTGCTGTCAGTAATGAACTGTTAATTTACAGTTCTCTACAGTTGATTTACATAATTTTTTTTTTTTTTTACTGTGAACTGTTGTCAGTTACTTACTGTAATTTCTACAGGAAGTTTTTTACAGTGTAGATATGAATTTACTGTTTATTTTTATAAATATCAAAAATCTAAAAGGTGGGCATTATAATCGAGAACTACATGACCACTTCACAGTTGGTTGTGTTACTGTAAGTAATTTTCCTCAAATGCTATTGAAGTTAGAAAAGTGTAAACCAATGTCGTATATAACTTTAGAGACGGTCCCTAGATTTGTGAATATCGAGTGCCGGGAAATGACACCTCTGGCCATTTCGTTGGGTCATTTGTAAAGTCACAGATACTGTACGGACAACACGGCTCAATTTTTCGATGTATCTTGCTCTGTTGAATGGCAAAAGTGACTTTACTAGGCTATACTGGATTTACACCATGCATCTCCTGTCAGCGGGAAAGCCACGCCCCCAGCTATCACAAGAGCCGACCAAGTCCATGGTTGACACCCTCTCATGAACATGTTTTGTAGAGGAAATATAAATGCGGAACTACATTCAGAAATAAATGAGTGATCAAAGGAAAATAAATAGGATGAGTTTGCATTTCCTTAAACATTTTCCATTTGCCCACTAATTTATTTTATTTATTTGCCTACTTTCATCACATGTTTAATTATTTCTATATGTATTTAAACAAGAATACGTGTATTTATACACACATTTATTTATTTATTTTTAGGTTTGGTCGTCCATAGACGGTGTGTGTTTCAGTGCGAAAGCAAAAGCACTTTATTTGGCCTTCCGGAAGTAGATGCAATTAGGAATCATTGGTTAAGATTTATTTACAACAGAACAGCACAACCCAGATGTTCGAATTTGTGCAACACATTTTATGGACCACAGTTTTTTTAACCTAGAAGAGTACAAGGCTGGCTGTGCACAAACGCTATTTCTAAAAAAAAAAAAGGGTAAATTCTGACTTTGCTATGACAATCTGGCACTTCTGAATCAGCGACTGTAAGTATGTTTTGTTATTAGTTTAAGTATTTGCTATTGACTGTTCAAATGCAGAGTTTTTGAGTAAGGCGTCGTGTGTGTGTGTGTGTGAGTGAGTGTGTGTGTGAGGGTGTGTGTGTGAGTGTGTGTGTGTGTGAGGGGAACAGGGTCACATCACAGGAGAGTGAACAGTCTGTCAGAAATCATAGCACGTTCTGCATCATCACTGTGTCTGTCACGCGACTCTGTTGCTAAATATTTACTCTCCTTATAGATAATTATGTGAATTATTAAGTGCTAATTGTGCATTAGTGATGAACAGCTGCTGTTAACAAGCAGAATCACTGAATGAAAGAGACTTTACAAGTCACAGCCTTAGATGAAATCAACTGAAATAAGACACTAAATATCTCAAGATCTTATTAAACAACTCCACAAACAGCATTACCAGCTTCACACATTACAATTTGACTTTATTTCTGTCATATATCTACAAAACATATTTGAGAATTAAGAGAGGTTTAGATGTTTTATTGAAAGCGTTTTGTTTGATCTCACCATCGTGGCGATCAGGGTTTGCTTTAGTTGGACTCTTAACCCTTGACTTCTTAAAGGGGTCCTATTATGCTTTTTCACTTTTTTAATTTAAGCCAGTGTATAATGTGTATGTTTGGGCATAAAAAAGATCTAGAAATTTACAAATCTCAAAGTCCACTCCAAAGGAAGATATTTCGTCTTTTATAAATCTCTTTTCAAGATCTACAACAAATGGCGACGCTGTGTTTCTCGTCTGGTGTGCGACCACCTGAAACTTTGTTTTTTTCACCTCCGTGCCCGAAACGTCTTTGTTTGGGCTTCCGAAAGCGGATGATGTCAGGAAACAGTGATTGCGATTTATTTTTTAATGCATTATAACCCCAATTTGCTATTGTGTGCTGCACATTTTACTGAGGACAGCTTCCACAACATGAGGAGTACAGTGCCTGCCGGATTCGCCAAAAAGCTTTTGTTGAAAGATGGAGCAAGGAGCGTGGCAGTACTGAAACACCGTCTAAGCTGTTCGCCAATCACAACGCACTGGGACAGCTAACCAATCACAACACATTTTGTTTTTCGTAGGTAGACCTTCATCAAAGCCGGAACTAATCGAGCCGTTTGTGGCAGCCTGGGGAGAAAGGTATTGTAATAATGTAAATTATGTGAAAAATAATGTGTTTTTTGAACCACCAAGCATGAGAGCATGTTCTAGTACACCCCCAAAATAAAATCAAGACATTGTAAAAGAGCATAATAGGACCCCTTTAATGTTAGAATTGTTTTTTGGCTGCTATAACTGTGTTTGTAAAGTAAATTTATTTTAGCAAAATATTAAAGAATTACTATAATAATGTGGGTTTTCTTTATTACTGATAAACTTATAATCATTATCTGTTGGCCTTCTTCACTGACCTCGATCAGTGCCTAATCTCAAATGCCATGGTGCGGGTTTTTTTAATTAGTTATGTTTTATTTACGATAGCTGTTTGATACTGCACATTGAGATGACTAATTACTACTGAACGTTTTTCAAAACATTGTATTTTTTTTTAAGGTAAATAGGATCTAAACCATCTTAATTAAATAAATTAAGTAATTTTAACAAGTGCAGTTTCTGTGCTATGGTGGGGCCTGAAACCTGACTGAAATTCTTCATAGAGATCATTTTTTTGCAGGAAGGAGCACAATCGAGCAGACACAACTTTTCTAAAATTTTAGACATAAAAGGAAGATTTGAGATGGGTCTGTAATTTGCCAGTTCACTAGGATCTAGTTGTGGTTTCTTTATAAGAGGCTTAATAACCGCCAGCTTGAATGGTTTTGGGATGTGACCTAAAGATAACGAGTTAATGATATTGAGAAGCAGTTCTTCTGCTACAGGTAACAACTCTTTCAGTAATTTAGTGGGTACAGGATCTAACAGGCATGTTGTTGGTTTAGATGCAGTGATAAGTTTATTTAGCTCTTCCTGTCCTATAGCTGTAAAGCACTGCAGTTTATCTTTTGGTGCGATGAATGAAGCTAAAGTATTATACGCTGTAGAATCTACATTTGTTATTGTATTTCTGATGTTATCTATTTTATAAGTGAAGAAATTCATAAAGTCATACTGCTCGGAGCATATATGGTCCCACTCTAAATGAGTGTTAAAGTTAATGAGATAATTAAGTGACTAATTAAGTGCTGATTGAGCATTAGTGATGAACAGCTGCTGTTAACAAGCAGAATCACTGAAGAAAAGAGAAACACAAGAACTATAACTGACTTCAGCTATAGCCTTAGATGAAATCAACTGAATTCAAACATTTTAATCTCTATAGATCTTTGCAGATGCTGATTGATTATGTTCTCAATCAATATCACCAGTTTTACACATTACTAACAAGTTTTAAAATTTGTTTGTCATGCATCAAACATCAAGAATCAGCATATGAATCTCAACAATGATGATGATAATCAGACAGACACCAATCATAACTCATCCATGGCTACCAGCATGCATTGCGACATGAATAAATTATGCAGCTGCATTGTCTTAGTATTTTCTTTAATTTTTACTATTTGCTTTTATTTTTGTTATTTTTTGTTGTGACATTTTACTGCCTTGTTTTGTGACTTTCAAAAATCACATAAAAATTATCAGAATATTTTGTCAGCATTGCTGAGATTCACATGCTGATTCTTCATGTCTATGAGTGCCAAAGTTGAAACTTATGTAAGAACCACATTTATGACAGTTTTTTTATGAAGAAGTTTTGACTTTGCTATCAATTTAGCAATACAATATATAAATGTTTACATAATGTATTGCAACATTTTAGAAATCATAAAAGCACTACTCTTGTAGATAAATTACAATCAGAAACATGACATGATTTTACCATAAGTCTTATGCCATCACGAATGTATGTGTTTAATACACACATCAAAACTATTATCTGTGATCGTTTCATTTACAATAACTGCTTTGGGTGAGAGTGATCTAATACTTAGGAGCCCAAACTTTAAAATGTTTTTTGTTCATTTATTTGACATGTTTCTGGTTTAATCACGATCAGATGTTATTCTAGATTCTGCATTACATTTATATTTTTACCTCACTATTCAGCATGTGAGAGCACTGTGATATCACTGTGATAGTGTTGAGAAACAGGATATAGAAAGAATCCTCGGTGACTGATATTTGAACTGCCTCCTCTCAACCTGCTCAACATTTTGAATTCACAATAAACTCAAATATTACTCGAATGGTGTGATGTCACTGTGACCATCGCATAATCTCACGTGTTGACTGGCTGGAATTGTTTTTGTACAGATAGCATGGACTTTATGAACAGGATGCTGTTTTTCTTCACATGAGCTGTAACCCATCCTGACTGCTGTATCACCTCCACAACAACATTTACTCATTTGATCTAGGGGGAAAAAATTCAAATTTAATTTGGACATCAAATGTTTGTTATGCCTTCAAATACACAAACACAGGCATTTTCTGTCTTGCTTTTAATTAAAATAAGTAAACATCCTTACTATACTTTTTTTTTTCTCAGAGAAGGATCGTAATACATATTATGTTCATGATTAATATGTGAATTTATTATATATGAATTACATTTTCTAACAAAATGTAATACAGTTTAATTGGGTGAGAAAACTAAACTAATAATTCAAGATATATCTAGAATTTGGTAAATTCATGTTGTTGCAATTATAAGGATACTTACTTTTTATATTCTTATTATTTTCTATATATATATATATATATATATATCTTGAACCATATTAAATCATACTTTGTCTAAGGATACAGTAATATCAGTTTATGAATGTTTTTATTGGCTTGTGTTGATAAAGACTTTGACTAGTTTCCCATCAGCTTGAAACACATGCTGGCTGAATGATTGTTTTTCTGCTTCAGTAATGTTGTCTGGATGATTTACCTGTGTCATTGTGATGTATTCAGATTTAAAACTCCTTAGTTTCTTTCTGTAATAATGACAGACATTATCAGGATATAGACAAATGCATTTGCAAATATCAGAGCTATTTGTGGTTCTCACATTATGAACATGATGATGATGATAGTGATGGTAACAATGATTAATGATACTCCACATTCCACTATGATCCCAAAAACTGCATGCCAACTGGATATGTGATGCTCTGAAAGAGAGAAAAGTATCAGCTAAGACTAACTGTCCAAACTGAAGAAAGTTATACAGGTTTGCTCTCCCGAACCTTTAACAGTGACAGCAACAGCATCTGATCTCTGAGATCCGTGTTGATTGTGAGCCTCACAGTAGAAGCGTCCACTCTGTAGTGCACTGAAACTCTGTCCAGATCCAACAGCTGAGCTTTGATTCTCCTTAAACCAGCTGATTTCTGCAGGAGGGTTTGAATCACTGCTGCAGCTCAGGGTCACTGAATCTCCCTCCACTATTTCACCAGATCCATTTTTGGACACTGAGACATTTTTTGGAGGGTCTAAAAAATAATCAAATTATTTATTGACAAGTCCTGTTAAAATTGGTTAAAATTATTAGTATGAACTAAAATAATGAAAACCAAGAATCAGCATATTATGTTTTATAATAAACTCACACATGACATTTAAAGTCACAGCATCAGAGTATGTCTCTCCATGTTGATTTCTGGACTTGCACTTGTATTCTTCACTGTGATCAGAGCTGATGTTTGAGATGCTGTATATTCTTCCAGATCCTACAATTGTTCCTCCTTTAAACCAGCTGATTTCTGCAGGTGGGTTTGAATCACTGCTGCAGCTCAGAGTCACTGAATCTCCCTCCACTATTTCACCAGATGGACTGATGGACACCACTACATTTCTTGGAGCATCTAAAACAGAAATAATTAAATGTGTCATCAACAGTGATTGTGCAAAAAACGATTGAGAGGAGTAAGGGCGCTGTATTATGAAAGAGTGTACCGCACATGAGTTCGAAAGTGAAGCAGTTTAGCATGGAAAGCACGGCATATTGCATCAGTTGCTGAATATAACAGTTTGTCATAAGCACAGGCGCTGGAGATGAGTATTATTGCTGCTACCAGCCTCAGATTGGAAGTAAATTGTGCTTCTGTGCACCTTATAAGAGTGAGTACTGAGTTCTGATGTTCGTTATTCTCCTTATTATCGAGATATCTGTTTTGTAACATTGTGTGAATATACTAATTCATCCTTGCTAGCTTTATGAATGTATTTGCTGATTTATAATGTTAATGTGAGTCATGTGAGCAATGTAATGCAGTTAAATGTGTATTTTATTTTGTGTTCATACATTAAGACAGGGGTCTCCAAACTTGGTCCTGGAGGGCCGGTGTCCTGCAGAGTTTAGCTCCAACCCTAATTAAACACACCTGAACCAGCTAATCAAGGTCTTCCTAGGCATAGAAACTTCCAGGCAGGTGTGTTGAGGCAAGTTGGAGTTAAACTCCTCAGGAAACCGGTCCTCCAGGACAGAGTTTGTGAGACCCCTGGATTAAGATGCTCGTGAGGGGAAGAGCCTATAGCAGGGTTCCTCAAATCTTGCCCTGGAGGTCCAATGCACTGCAGAGTTTAGCTCCAACCCTGATCAAACTCACCTACCTTTGATTTTCTAATGATCCTGAAGACATTGATTAGCATGCTCAGGTGTGTTTGATTAGGGTTAGAGCTAAACTCTGCAGGAAAGTGGATCTCGTGGGCCAGATTTGAGGATCCCTGGCCTATAGTTTGTACATTAATGCTGTGATAATATTTGCTAATATGGTGATGTGTAACAGTGATTGCTGTTGTTAGAGCGCTGCTCTTTGTCTGTTACAGGCAGAGGCGGACAATCCAGGGGTCAGAAAGTAAAAGTCCTGCCATATGTTTATTCCACCCATGAACTCAGCAGCTGATTTCAGCAGAGGAGGAACCACATCATTCCTTTCAAGTCACAGACGAGTCTCGAGTCAAATCCCAAGTCCTCAAAGAGTTAAAGTTAATGAGATAATTAAGTGAGTAATTAAATGATGATTGTGCATTAGTGATGAACACCTGCTGTTATTGAGAATTACAGAGGATCAGATGTTGATGTTTTATTGGTTAAAATGATGGCACCATCATGGATTGCAATTTCATTTCGATTTATCGCGCAGCCCTAGTTTTCACCTTTTTTCACCTTAACTGTTTGCATCTCTGCAGATGAACTGATGGACACTGATATGTTCTTTTTTGCATCTAAAATAGAAGATACATTTAATTAAATATCAACAACAATAATATACATAATAACAATAATAATAATAATAACAATAATTGTGACATTGCATACAATTTTTAGATGACTTTATATCAAAATTACTGAACGATCATTAACTCACACATGACATTCAAAGTCACAGCGTCAGAGTCTTTCTCTCCATGTTGATTTCTGGACTTGCACTTGTATTCTCCACTGTGATCAGAGCTGATGTTTGAGATGTTGTAGATTCTTCCAGATCCTACAATTGTTCCTCCTTTAAACCAGCTGATTTCTGCAGGAGGGTTTGAATCACTGCTGCAGCTCAGAGTCACTGAAACTCCCTCCACTATTTCACAACATGGACTGATGGACACTGAGACGCTCTTTGGTGGATCTAAAAGAGAAACAGTTTTCATTAAATATCACAATAAAGTTAACATCAGATGCTATGTTTAGAGGATCTAAAGGCTCAAAATGTAAGTTTTGCAGCTAGAGGTCATTTAATAAATAACAAAGACATTGCTTGATGACACAGTTGCGGAGTGTGGAATCATGGGAGTTTTCTTGTTCCACTCCGCAGTCATTTTAGCTTTATAGGGTTATTTTTGGTGACAGAATCCATAGCAAATGATAAAGAATAATTGTGGTCCTTCACGAATGTGTAAAACAAACAACTGTGGCTTGCTAGATGCTACCAGAGATCGTTTTCATGGTGTTTTCATGGTGTTTTCATGGTGTTTTCATGGTGTTTTCATGGTGTTTTCATGGTGTTTTCATGGTGTTTACTAGGGCTGGGCGATATGGGTAAAAAACATACAAATAACAAACAAAATCACAGTAACATTTTTCATATGAGGTGATATCGATAACTATTTTGATAAATGTCCAATCTTTATTTCTTACATGTCTCTCCTTTTGATCAGAACTTGTTCACCTGTTTAGCAAGTGTTGGTCATTTCGCAAATCTGAGGTACAACATTCAAAATATTTATAATAATTTTTTTTTACTACACCAACTGAGTAAACTTAAGTAAATTCATTTTCAGGCTTTTATCCTTAAAATATCTTAAGATAAATTAATTTCTTATTTCCTGCATGTTCTAAAGCAGCGGTTGCCAGATCGCGATGAACTGGTAGATCTTTATCACTGTCCCAGTAGATCCAGAAAATAACAGAACAATTAGTACAAAAAACTGCATTTCTCCAGTTACATTTCTCCATGAATGTATCACTGAGGGGAACTTGCTGTCTTCAGAAATGTTTAGATGGCAATGGCATTTTCTTTTCCTGTTACCGCCACATAAAGTTATATTTATAAATGCAGCAATGCTTTGTTTACAGTAGTAATCAAGTAAACACTGTATCGCTGCTGTTCCATGAGCACCACCTGCTGTTAGAGAGTGGATTTGCATTCTCATTCAGGGGTGTGTTTCCCAAAAGCAACTATGGTCGCACGTTCCGTCATTACCAATAGAGTTCAATAGAACTAATGACCATAGTTAGCTAACAATGCTTTTGGGAAACACACCCAGCCCATGTACTGTTTTTATTTCATGCAGATGTTTTGTGTAGAATCATTTCACAAAGATAAAGTCAGACCATTCTGTTTTTGCTTTAAATCTTGAAATGATTTAATCGAATTCAAATAAAAAACAACTGCTCAGGCAACATGTGTTTAGCCCCTTTCATGGAAAGTTTGTTCACGCGGCAGCCATATTTGCAATGCCTCTGGGCAGGTATTTCGGGCATCCAAGACCAAGTCCTCTCTAAATGAATGGGGGGATCCTAAAATCTCAAAACTGCTTGCTGAACTCACAATTAAATTACATATTTCAAATCAGCAACAAAATCTGAAGTGAACTGCCCCATGATTGTTGTTCCTTATGCTCAAATAGTGTTAGAGCTAGACCAGCAATCTGCGGTCATAAGTGCGAGTCTCAGGTTTCTATGAGAACTGGAGCTTCAAACCCTGCAGTGACACAATAGGTGCGTTCGACTTGAAGCACGGCTACAGACGAGAGTAGCCGCTTGCAGTCGGGGACGGAATTGAAAGCAGAGACATCGAGTTGGACGCTTTCTGCTCCCGGTAGTGACGCTCTCACAGTGTTTGCATAGTAGGCTTGATTGAGATGCGCCTGGCCTCGCCTGAAATGTAGGTGAGAGTAGGCGGCTGCAGTGAGGGGAGGAGTGAAATAAGCGCAGTCGAGACGGACAGTTCGGACCTCTCGAAGTGGAACAGATACCTACGAGATCAAAGTAGGTATAACCGATATCATGTTATTCTCACTCGTGTGCTGTGCTGCTGATAAACATGATATAATTTCAGTTCTGTTGCTTTATATGAAAATAAATATGATGAACAAGACTCAAAGTGCTTGCTATTTAATTCCACACGAAAGGCATATTTATCATCCATTTTGACTTTAATACAAACATACATTTTTGATTTTTATAGAAATATGACAACTAGGGATGGGTATCGTTTACATTTTACTAATACCGATACTGCTTATCAATACTGTTATCGAAACTATTTGGTGCAAAAAGATATGAAGTGAAAAGTTTATTTTATTACTGCTGAACTTTAGCAACTGTATTAAAGTTCTTCAGTCAAGAGAAATTATTTATTTTTCTCTTTGTGTTTTATTTTATTAACATTAAAGGAATAGTTCACCCAAAAATGAAAATTGTGTCATCATTTACTCACTCTCAAGTTGTTTTAAACCTGAATGAGTTTCTTTCTTATGTTGAACATAAAAAGTTATTTTGAAGAATGTGGGAAACTAAACAGTTGCTACTGTACTAAAGTCAGTAGGGACCAGCAACTTTTTGGTTACCCACATTCTTTAAAATATCTTATTTTGTGTTCAGTACAAGAATAAATAAAAATTAATACATGTTTGATACAACATGACTGAGTAAATAATGACAGAATTTGAATTTTTGGGTGAACTATCCCTTTAATGACAAGCAGCAGCATGTTTAGTACTGTCCCTTTAAGAGCTGCACGCATCCATTTCTCTCTCAACTGTTTACTTTCATTTTAGATATAATTAACTGTGTTTATATGTAAACCTTGTGTGTTTTTGACAGTATTAGTTCAATCAGACAATAACTTAGTAATCAGGTGCTGTTTGACCAGCCTTTTAGTATATGGACGCTTCGGGTGTAACTGTTACGCGCTCTGAATAAGCACGTTAGAACAGCACGCAAATTAAACGTTTAACTGGCAAGGCTTTAAAGCACGCGGAAATAATGTACTTTTGTGATTGCGAATAAGTCTTGTGAGTGTAACTCTACCGAATTAACATTTGATGTGAATGTGTCTCACGAGTTTCAGTTGGAGCCGGAGCCGGAGCCGGAGCCGCGAGACATAATACAGCGCATTGCTTGAGGTAGATGTTGTGTTTTGTTAGTAAATGTTTAATTATATTACCAGTGTTGCCTCCTTCGTTCACTATTACACTACTGCATATACTGCATCTGACACTGGTGTCGCTTAGTTTTGTAACATGAGCCCACACTGTTTCGAAAGTTTCACTCTTGCTGTGATGACTGATTGCATTAAAATAAACTGACGAAAAACGAGTCAGTACTGAGCTTGTCTGAATTTATTATGAAATGTAAGACAAAAATTATGTTTTTGGACATGAAAGGATAGATGTTATATTTTGTTTTGGTGTAAATTACTTACTAAATACTAAACTGCCAATAATTTAAGCCACGGGGAGACTAGACAATTGTGATTCATTGTATTGTATTGCAAAATAATATAAAGATTTGTAATACAAAGTATTTTTCCAAAAGTAAGTTATATTAGTGTTTTTGTGCCGTGACGGTGAGGGCGGGAACATATGTGACGTAGCCACGCACACTTACTAGATTATCTCATTCTAGTGTTTAATGCCGAGGAGGACTCTAGCCTAAAAGACTCTGAAGGACTGAACTAGGAAGGTCGCAGCCTCGGTAGGATGCAGCCTTCCTTTTGAGAAGCACCCATAGTCTTTGGTGTAGCACCTTTGTTTGAATTGTGATTAAAATGGAGTGGTTGCCTCTATTTTCAAATAACTACAGATTTTATTTTATTTTTGTATTATTATTATTATTATATATATTTTTTTGCTTTAAAAAAATTTAATCATTCAATATGCTTGTAAAAAATAATCTGAATCAGCCTGAAAAATCATGATCAGTGCATCACTTATTAAAATAAAGGCCGCAATTTGGAAGTAGAATCAGGGCTGTCTTTTTTCTATACATTCTTCAGTAGGTAGATCTTGTCTTTCTGTGTGGCGTCACTAACGCTGTTTCATTACTCATTGGCACATAAACATTATATTGAACATGTGTTATTGTTCTATCGAGGGAAAAATATATTGTGATAATTATTACTATCTTTTTATTGCCGATCCCCCGTGTCTACTGACAACCAAGGGTAGGGGGGATAAGACACCATTGACAGGCGACGCAAAAGACACGGACCATTTCACTGGTTAAAACTGGATACTTTTGGGATAATGTAAGTACACAAGTCAACAAAATATATAACTCTGGTCTAGTAGTTTTTGGATATTTCAATGCAAAAATTGTACATATTGTACCTTCAATGTCGAAGATTTCTGCAGGTGGGTTTGAATCACTGCTGCAGCTCAGAGTCACTGAATCTCCCTCCACTATTTCACCAGATGGACTGATGGACACCAATGCATGTCTTGGAGCATCTAAAATAGAAAACAATTTTTTAATGTTTTATCAACAGTGATAAAACACAGTGGAACTAGGGGATCTGTTCTCATATCTTGCACCAGTATTCACTTACAAATCACATTCAGCATCACAATATCAGAAAGTTTCTCTCCATGTTTATTGATGGACTTGCACTTGTATTCTCCACTGTGTTCAGAGCTGATCTTTGAGATGTTGTAGATTCTTCCAGATCCTACAAACATTCCTCCTTTAAACCAGCTGATTTCTGCAGGTGGGTTTGAGTCACTGCTGCAGCTCAGAGTCACTGAATCTCCCTCCACTATTTCACCAGATGGACTGATGAACACTGAGGTGTTCTTTGTTGCATCTAAAAGAGTAAACAAATTTCATTAAATATCAACAACAATAATATATGTAATAACAATAATAATAACAATAATTTTGACATTACATACTATGTATAGAGGACTTTATATCAAAGTTACTGAACGATCATTAACTCACACATGACATTTAAATTCACAGCATCAGAGTCTTTCTCTCCATGTTGATTTCTGGACTTGCACTTGTATTCTCCACTGTCATCAGAGCTGATGTTTGAGATGCTGTAGATTCTTCCAGATCCTACAAACGTTCCCCCTTTAAACCAGCTGATTTCTGCAGGAGGGTTTGAATCACTGCTGCAGCTCAGAGTCACTGAAACTCCTTCCACTATTTCACCAGATGGACTGATGGACACTGAGACGCTCTTCGGTGGATCTAAAAGAGAAACAGTTTTCATTAAATATCACAATAAAGTTAACATCACATGCTATGTTTAGAGGATATAAAGGCCCAAAATGTAAGTTTTGCAGCTAGAGGTCATTTAATAAATAACAAAGACATTGCTTGATAACACAGTTGCGGAGTGTGGAATCATGGGAGTTTTCTTGTTCCACTCCGCAGTCATTTTAGCTTTATAGGATTTGTTTTGGCGACAGAATCCACAACAAAGGATAAAGAATAATTGTGGTCCTTCACGAATGTGTAAAACAAACAACTGTGGCTTGCTAGATGCTACCAGAGATCGTTGGCTTTGATGCTATACTACTTCCACATTTTTACAGGAAGGGCACTATATTTTCATGGTGTTTACTAGGGCTGGGCGATATGGGCAAAAAATTGTCACAATAAAAATTTTCATACGAGTTGATATCAATAACTATTGTGATACATTTCAAATCTTTATTTCATACAAGTTTAAAGGCAGATGTCTCTCCTTTCGGTCAGAACTTGTTCACCTGTTTGGCAAGTGTTGGTAATTTCACAAATCTGAGGTACAACATTCTAAATATTTATAATAATAAAATATTTTTTCTACACCAAATGAGTAAACTTAATTAAAACATTTTTCAGTCTTTTATCCTTAAAATATCTTAATAGAGAAATTAATTTCTTATTTCCTGCAAGTTCTAAAGCAGCGGTCACCAGATCGCGATCAACTGGTAGATCTTTATCACTGTCCCAGTAGATCCAGAAAATAACAGAAACATTTGTACAAAAAACATATTTCTCCAGTTACATTTCTCCATGAATGTATCACTGAGGGGAACTTGCTGTCTTCAGATATGTTTAGATGGCAATGGCATTTTCTTTTCCTGTTACCGCCGCATAAAGTTATATTTATAAATGCAGCAATGCTTTGTTTACAGTGGTAATCAAGGAAAAACTGTATCGCTGCTGTTCCATGAGCACCACCTGCTGTTAGAGAGTGGATTTGCATTCTCATTCAGGGGTGCATTTTCCAAAAGCAACTATGGTCGCAAGTTCCGTCATTACCAATAGAGTTCAATGGAACTAACGACCATAGTTAGCTAACAATGCTTTTGGGAAACACACACCAGCCCGTCTACTGTTTTTATTTCATGCAGATGTTTTATGTAGAATCATTTCACAAAGATAAAGTCAGACCATTCTGTTTTTGCTTTAAATCTTAAAATTATTTAATCTAATTCAAATGAAAAACGTCTCGGTTACGTATGTAACCCTCGTTCTCTGAAGGAGGGAACGGAGATGTCACATCGGATGACCGAGAAATTGGGATCTCGCTTAAAGAAACCAATCTACTTCGTTTAGTGTAACTAAACGAGCCAATGCACATTGGCATGTGATTATTGCATCCAGCTGCCGCTGATCACAGCGTGAGTATAAGTAGGCAGCTGGTTCAGCGCATATTCAGGTTTTCGCTGAGGAGCCGAGCTGGTGACCTGGCCGCTCAGCAGTGGTACAGAAGCTGTGGCGACGGGATGTGACATCTCCGTTCCCTCCTTCAGGGAACGAAGGTTACATACGTAACTGAGACATTCCCTTTCAGTCGGTCACTCTCGATGTCACGTCGGATGACCGACAAATTGGGATCCCTACCAAAGGGCCACAGATACTGCCCCTTCCAGTGTTCTGTGGAAGCCTCCTGCGCCCCTTCTTTTTGGCGTAGGCCGGGGCTTACCACAAGAAGACCAGCTACTGTTGCTATGGCACTGCCCACTCAGTAAGACTGGATAACACTGGGAAAACGTACCCGTACCACTTGGGACAGGAACGTTGCGGAAGCCCCATCCTTCCCGAAAGAGGTTTCGGAAGCACTTAAACATATGGACAACCATTTAGGTGCATATGGAAGATTAGAGGTGATTGTAAACCTCTTGGAAAATAGCAGAAAGTCTGCCGGGGAAACACGGGCTCTGAGGCTATACCGTGGATTTTACACATATGGGATCCACTTAGGTCTCTACATATGGAACCCAGCCCTCTACCGGTTCTCACAGATTCATCAAGTGAGGGCCTTGGGCCGGACGCTCTGCCACGTCTGGCTGCCAAGGGGACGGAGGAAATCAACAGGGTCTACGATATGGACTCTCTGGAGCAGTCTTAGCAAGCCGACCCAAAGCCAGGGCCTCTCAGTGCTTCTGCCCGTTTGAGGTGAGAACACAGGAGGATACCGGCTCCACATGAAGGCTATAGAATCTAGCGAACGTGTTGGGCGTCGCCCAGCCCGCCGCTCTACAAATATCCATCAGCGAGGCACCCTGAGCCAGCACCCAGGAGGTCAGTAGATCCTTCTTCAGAGGAATATGCCAAGGAGGGGCCGTCACAAGGAGCATCAGTTCCGGGAACCAAGTCCGAGTGGGCCAGTAAGGCGCCACGAGCAGGACCTGCTCCTCGTCCTCCCTGATCTTGCACAGTGTCTGTGCAAGAAGCTTCACTGGGGGAAATGCATACTTGCGAAGGCCCCGCGGCCAGCTGTGTGCCAGTGCGTCCATGTCGAGTGTTCCCTCGCTCAGGGAGTAGAACAACTGGCAGTGAGAGGTTTCTGGAGATGCAAACAGGTCTACCTGAGTGGCTCCGAAACGACTCCAAATCAGCTGGACCGTCTGGGGATGGAGTCTCCATTCTCCCGGGAGCGCAGCTCATGACAGCTTGTCGACTGCCCGGTTGTGCAGACCAGAAAGGTGAATGGCACGAAGTGACCTCAGATGCTTCTGACTCCAGAGGAGGAGGTGGCGGGCGAGTTGCGGCATGCGACGGGAGCGTAGACCACCTTGTCGGTTGATGTACGCAACGGCCACAGTGTTGTCCGTGCAGACCAGTACGTGCTTGCCTCGTAAGCGCCCTTTGAGATGGATCAAGGCAAGGCGCACTGCCAGCAACTCTAGGCATTTGATGTGCCAGTGCAGTTGGGGGCCCGTCCAAACCCCTGACACTAATTTTGGGTACCACAGACCATGAAGTCAGTGGCGGGAAAAAAAAGAAACAAAAGATTTTCCGCCCGGCCCTCCTCCGGGGGAGGGAGTGGTGCATTCACCATCTCCTCAAGTGCAGCTCACTCCATCTCTGGGTCGCCCGTCTCAGGGCCACTTGCTCTTCCGCTTGCCATCAGGTTTGGCGGGGGCCTGGATGGATGGGGTGGCTGCCCTGCGACCGACTCCACGGCGTTGCTTTGCTGGAGGCTGCTGCGTTTGGGGAGTGGGGGTGGCGGCGGCGGCGGCAGGGGGTCACCCTCGGCAACGAGCAGACTGAGGTGGCCGGGTGGTGGCAACAGCTGCACGCTGGGGCAGGATGTGTTTGATGGCCTCAGTCTGCTTCTGTGCGGCAGAGAACTGCTAGGCGAAGTTCTCCACTGCGTCGCCGAAGAGGCCGGTCTGGGACACGGGGGCATTTAAAAACCGAGTTTTGTCAGTCTCCCTCATGTCGGCCAGACCCATCGAGGGTGGTGAGGGAGGATGAGGCACTGGGGCGGATTCTGGCAATGAAAGGTGCCGTCCATGACCCAGTAAGCTCTTCATGCACCTCCGGGAAGAAAGGCACTGGGATGGGGCCCTGAGAACCAGCTCGAGCCACCCCGAGAAACCAATCATCCAGCCTTGAGGGTTCGGGACGTGGTGGATGTTTCCACTCAAGCCCGATCCTCTCGGTGGCCCGGGCAAGCATAGCCACCATTTCCGTATCCGTATCCGGCATTGCTGGCCGCCCAGAAGGTGGCAGCACTGCCAGGTCACCATATCCAGAAAGGTCTGGCTCACCCTCTGATGCAGCGATCGACATCCGATCGTCAGGGGGAGCACCGAAGAATACAAGTGGTAACCCACGAGAGGGTCCAGCCTGTTCTTTCAGTGGCTCCACTGGCTGCGAAGTGCCGGTGGAAGGAGGAACCCTCGGAGGTTGGTTCCTCGGAGGGGAATTCCTCACCGTCACCTTAAAGACCAGTCTGGCTACTGCCAGAAGTAGCGTCCCCCCGGCGGCCGCCAGGGGGAGCCCTAGATCTAGACAGAGGCACGGGCACCCCGCCCCTTTGGAGGAAACGGAGCCTGATCCACAACTCCACGACGATCATTCTCCTGCAATGGGAACATGACTCATCCGCGAACGCCACCTCAGTGTGTTTAATGCTCAGACACGTGAGGCAGCGATCATGACCATCACCCGTCGCCAGGTAACGACCGCATCCAGAAACGCATGGATGGAAAGGCATCTTTAAAAAGACGTCCACCCGTGAATGCTCTTTTAGAGTTTGCTCTTTTAGAATGTGCTCTTTTAGTTTGCTGAAGTGCACAGGGGAGATGGCAGCCTGATGTGTGCAACCCACTTGACATGGGAAGAACCACTGCCGATGAAATGCCGTACCACCAGCACCAGAGCTTCCTAGAGCGTGCTGAACTCGTTGAGTTTCTCCGAAGCTGTAGTCAGGAGCAGAACGAAACAATCGCTCGGCTCCGAAGCAAAAAGCTGAATATGCGCTGCACCAGCTACCTACTTATACTCACACTGTGATCAGCAGCAGCTGGATGCAATAATCGCATGCCAATGTGTATTGGCTCGTTTAGTTACTTGAAGTAGATTGGTCTCTCTAAGTGATATCCCAATTTGTCGGTCATCCGATGTGATGTCGAGAGGAAATTGTACATATTGTACCTTCAGTGTCAAAGTTACTGAACCATCATTAACTCACACATGACATTTAATGTCACAGCATCAGAGTATTTCTTTCCTAGTTCATTGATGGACTTGCACTTGTACTCTCCACTGTGATCAGAGCTGATGTTTGAGATGTTGTAGATTCTTCCAGATCCTAAAAACCTTCTTTCTTTGAACCAGCTGATTTCTGCAGGTGGGTTTGAATCACTTCTGCAGCTCAGAGTCACTGAATCTCCCTCCACTATTTCACCAGATGGACTGATGGACACCACTGCATTTCTTGGAGCATCTAAAATAGAATAAATAAATAAATGTTATATAAACAGTGATAAAACACACTTGAACTAGAGGATCTGTTCTCAGATCTTGCACCAGTGTTCACTTACACATCACATTCAGCATCACAATATCAGAAGGTTTTTCTCCATGTTCATTGATGGACTTGCACTTGTATTCTCCACTTTGATCAGCACTGATCTTTGAGATGCTGTAGATTCTTTCAGATCCTACAAAAGTTTCTCCTTTAAACCAGCTGATTTCTGCAGGTGGGTTTGAATCACTGCTGCAGCTCAGAATCACTGAATATCCCTCCTTTATTTCACCAGATGGACTGATGGACACTGAAATGTTCTTTGATGCATCTAAAAGAGAAAACTAAATTTCATTAAATATCAACAACAATAATATATACATTAATAACTAATAATAATAATAATAATACTTTTGACATTACATACTGTTTAGAGGACTTTATATCAATGTTACTGGACGAGTATTAACTTACACATGACATTTAAATTCACAGCATCAGAGTCTTTCTCTCCATGTTTATTGATGGAGTTGCACTTGTATTCTCCACTGTGATCAGAGCTGATGTTTGAGATGCTGTAGATTCTTCCAGATCCTACAAACTTTCCTTCTTTAAACCAGCTGATTTCTGCAGGTGGGTTTGAATCACTGCTGCAGATCAGAGTCACTGAATCTCCCTCCACTATTTCACCAGATGGACTGATGGACACTGAGACGCTCTTTGGTGGATCTAAAAGAGAAACAGTTTTCATTAAATATCACAATAAAGTTAACATCACATGCTATGTTTAGAGGATCTAAAGGCCCAAAATGTAAGTTTTGCAGCTAGAGATCACTTATAAATAAAGAAATAATAAATAAAAAGAAACTGCTTGATGACACAGTGACAGAGTGTGGAATCATGGGAGTTTACTTGTTTCACTCCGCAGTCATTTTTGCTTTATAGGGTTATTATTTTTTTGCGACCAAATCCACAGCAAACTATAAAGAATAATTGTGGTCCATCACAAATGTGTTAAACAAACAACTGTGGCTTGCTAGATGCTACCAGAGATCGTTGGCTTTGATGCTACAACTACAACTTCCACATTGTTACAGGAAGCACACTGTGTTTTCATGGTGTTTACTAGGGCTGGGCGATATGGGCAAAAAATGATCACAATACATTTTTTCATACCAGTTAATATTGATAACTATTGCAATAAATGTCAAGTTTTCATTTCTTACAAGTTTAAAGACTGTTATTGTTCTATCAAGGGAAAAATATATTGTGATCATTTTTGCTATCGTTTTATCGCCGAGCCCCAGTGTCTACTGACAACCAAGGCTGGCGCAAGCTCAACTGCCGCTCTAGGCAAAACACTGTCGTGCCGCTACCATTTCACACTCACAATTAAACACGATCTTTAAGATGCATGTGAAAGACAGGAGATTTTGTTTATTGATAAAATTGCACTAAAGTAAAAGCAGACATGAGCATGTTTTCGGATTTATTTATTTTTTTCATAGACTACTACAACGTAAAAAAAATTAAAATAATAATAAATAAATAAAAAATTCATAAGATTTGGGAGAATTCCCAGCGAGTTCAGGACGCGGAAAGCACAAGTCTCTGTAGTTAATTTTCAATAAGAGACACAGAAATCTGTTCAAGCCATGATCGTACAGCTGAAATGCTGTCACTGGTGTGCACAGCTATTCGTCACGGTTATAAATATAATAAATATTAATATATGTGTTATATAAATATTACGCATGCAATAAGACGTAGCCTTTCCCTTGTCAAGTGTCGGAAAGAACGGGGGTTTGGGTAAAAATGCCACCAAATTGGACAATAGTGACCATGTACAATTAAACTAAATCTGTTATGGTTATCACAAATAAAATTAAAATTAAATGAGAAGTGTCGATTGCGGTATTAAATTTGGTTCTGCTCATGCTGCAACATGTTTCTTTTTATGGTGGTCAATCAGAGGTGTTCAGATTAATCTTCTCTGAAACGCCAGAATTTTGTTCAGTGCGCGCTAACTGACTGACCCCGCTAGAATTTTTATGTTCCCAGAACGCTCTCAGAATGTCCCCGCTGGTGTCAAGGGCATTCCCAGAATGTTCTGAGATGGTCATGATGTGGAGTTCTTTAAAGGGTTGGGGGACGTTATTTGGCAGACCTCCAGGCATTAACACTGGTCAGAGTGTATTTGGTCCCACACTACAGAGTGCTAAAGTAACAATGAAGCAGAGTTGAAGTTCATGAGAGAATTAAGTAATTAATTAAGAAACAGAAATAAGAGAAAAACAACAACTACAACTGACTTCAGCCACAGTCTTAGATAAAATAAACTGAAATAAAACATTAAATCTCTCAAGATCTCAGCAGAGGATGATTAAACAACTCCACACACAGCAGCACCAGCTTCACTCATTACTAACCAGTTTGACTTTTTTTGTCATGCATCTACAGAAGCCCTTATTGAGAATTAAAATAGGTTTAGATGTTGATGTTTTATTGAAAATAATAAATTTGAAGTCACCTTTGTGGAGATAAGTGTTTTAGTTGGGTTCCTGACCCTTGACTTTTTAACTTCAGTTTATCTCTGACTGCTGTAACTGTATATAAAGCACATTTGTTATGGTGAGAAAAGCCAAGGGAAAATGTGACCACGTCCTATTGGCCACTTATTGGTCACATTCATAGTTACTGATTTCATTCCATTTAAGGCTATTATATTTTTATAATTTTTGCATCATTTTTGTCCTATGACATGAGATTAAACATCACTTTGAGAACTTGAGCAATATTATTAACATGGTGCACAGACAGATTTCAGTTCTGGCACTGATAGACATGAAGAACCAGTATGTGAATCTCAGCAATGATGACAAAATATTCTGATAATTTTTATATGAATTTTGAACGTCACAAATCAAGGTGGTAAAATAAAAATAAAATAAAAGCAAATAGTAAGAATAAAAGAAAATACTAAGACAAAGCAGCTGCATGATGTCGCAATGCAGTGCATGCTGGGAGCCATAGATGAGTTTTGATTGGTGCACCCAGAATGTAATGCAACATGAATCTGTCTGATGATCGTCACCATTGTTAAGATTAATTTGCTGATTCTTGATGTCTGTGTGTCTAAACTGCACAGATGTTCAAAACTGGTCTGTAAAGTTTTTTTAAGCTTCTTCATATTAGTGCATTAAAAAAACAACTGTGATTAACATCAGAAAATAAGTCATACATCACCATTAATGAAATCTGTATCAGGCTACTACATGATAACCTTTCATTACCAATAAGTGGCCAATATAATCTGATCACATTTTCTCATGGCTTTTCTTGCTGCAATGGATATGTTTTACAAACAGTTTCTGCAGTAAGAGAAAAAATAAAAAAGTTAAAAGTTAAGGGCCAGGAGCTCAACTAAAGCACACGTTAACTCCACAACAGTGACTTTAAACTTTATTATTTTCAGTAGAACATCAACATCTAAACCTCTATTAATTCTCAATAAGGGCTTCTGTAGATGTATAACAAAAAAGTCAAACTAGTTAGTAATGAGTGAAGCTGGTGCTGCTGTTTGTGGAGTTGTTTAATCATCCTCTGCTGAGATCTTGAGAGATTTAATGTGTTTTTCAGTTGATTTCATCTTAAGCCTGGCTCACACTACAGGATTTTTAGCCACATTTAGCCCCGATTTCCCCCTCCCGAGAATCGGAGCAAAAATCTTGTCGAGCCCCTCGATCGGTCCCGATGTTCGGCGTGGATTATCTGGTAATGTGAGGCGTTCACAGATCGAATCTTGCACCTCCCGATCTGCTCGCACACAAATCGAGGCCGCCCCGATCATATAAAAACATGTTTGATATTTAGGATTGAAATCGGTATGATGACGGCTATAGGATTACGTCAGTACTTTCACAATAGCCAATGCGCGACCGCAAAACAGCTGCTGTACGGCTCCGTTGGATAGTGGAGACGGAGGAAACTGCTTCTTGACGTTTAGTAGTAACATGACTGTCTGTATAATGTGTCGAAAACGTATCATAACCGTAAGAAGAAAGAGAAGCGCTGGAGTGAAATCACCTCAGTTTTGAACGTGTACGGGGGTGGCAGGGCGAGTCACGTGAGGCGATCACATGAGGCGCTCCCTCTGGCATGATAATCTTAATAATATCTTGTAGTGTGTGATGCGCCATGATGTTCGAATTTTGTAGTGTGTGCATGTTTAAGATTTGAGAGAAGATAATCTGCAAAGATTCTCCTTATGTGTGTGCTGCAACCAGATTTCATAATCGGTTAGGATTTTAAAACTCCTGTAGTGTGAGCCCGGCTTAAGGCTGTGACGGGAAGTCAGTTGTAGTTGTTGTGTTTTTCTTTTTTTCTGTTTCTTAATTAATGACTTAATTCTCTCATTCGCTTCAACTCTGCTTCAGTGTTACTTTAGCACTCTGTAGTGTGGGACCAAATACACTCTGAGCAGTATTAATCTCTGAAGGTCCTCCAAATAACTTCCCCCAACCCTTTAAAGAACTCCACATCATGACCATCTCAGAATATTCTGGGAATGTTTTTTGACACCAGTGGGGACGTTCAGGGGCGACGAGGGTGCGGCATTACTATGAAGCAAAGTTAATTTAGATTTAGAATAACTAACAGGGTAATAACTTGTTGCTATGAGTGCATTAATACAAAATGAATGCCCAAAAGATAAAATAAAATCTCTGGCTTTTTTGCTGCCCTGACTGTGCTGCCGCCCTCGGCAGCTGCCTAGTTCACCTATATGCACGCGCTGGCCCTGCTGACAACCGAGGGTAGGGGTAATATCACTCCATTAACAGGTGACGCAAAAGACGGACCATTTTGATGGTTAAAACTGTGAATTTTAACAGTTTTGGAAACATTTGGGATAATGCAAGTACACAAGTCAACAAAATATATAACTCCGTTCTAGTGGTTTTTGGATGCAGAAAATCGTACGTATTGTATCTTTAATGTCAAAGTTACCATCATTAACTCACACATGACGTTTAAAGTCACAGCAGAGTATTTCCCTCCATGTTTATTTCTGGACTTGCACTTGTATTCTCCACTGTGATCAGAGCTGATCTTTGAGATGTTGTAGATTCTTCCAGATCCTACAATTGTTCCTCCTTTAAACCAGCTGATTTCTGCAGGTGGGTTTGAATCACTGCTGCAGTTCAGAGTCACTGAATCTCCTTCCACTATTTCACCAGATCCGTTTAAGAACACTGAGACGTTCCTGGGTGGGTCAATTAGCAGATTATTTATTTAAGGCCTCTTACACTTTTAAACTACTAATATGAACTAAAATGATCAAAACAGATAAGTAGCATATTCTGTTTTATAACAAACTCACACAACGTTTAAAGTCACTGAGAAGTATTTTTCTCCATGTTCATTGCTCTTCATTGCCCCCCTCCCCTCCACTTGCCTGTCTCGTGTCCAGTTCAAACTGAATTTATAATTCTAACCCTTACAATGCTTTTACTGAGTGCAATAGATTTGCAGTTCACTGTTTCAGATTTAATCCGGGTTTTCCTGCATTTTAATATATATGTTTTGGGCCGGTACACAAGCAACATTTGTGCTAGATGGTTGTCCTGCATCTTCAATAAACAAGCATGTAGTCCAAAATGCAGCTGATAGAGTTCTTTCCAGGTCAAGAAAATATGATCATATTATCCCAATTTTACAGTCTCTGCACTGGCTACCTGTTAAGTTCCGTATCAGTCACAACATATTACTACTTATAAGGCCCTACATGGTTTAGCTCCTGCGTACCTAACTAGTCTTCTATTACATTACAATCCATCACGCTCCCTAAGGTCACAAAACTCTGGACTTTTGGTAGTACCTAGGATAGCGAAGTCCACTAAAGGAGGGGGAGTTTTTTTCACATTTGGCTCCCAAACTCTGGAATAGCCTTCCTGATAACGTTCGGGGTTCAGACACACTCTCTCTGTTTAAATCTAGATTAAAGACACATCTCTTCAGCCAAGCATTCACATGATGTCTCTCAAAACCTTGTACTCCAGTTATATCTGATCTAGTGCAAATTATCATTCTTTTGCTTGGTTTGAACACATGATCACGTTTGCTTTGTTGGAACAGCATCTATGCTAAATTGTCTCTATTTGCTTCTCTGTTTCTGCCACATGATGAGCATCCCGAGGTAACTACACAGTAAAATCCCGAATGTTAAATTAACACTGCTTGGAGCATATATGGTCCCATTCTAAAAGAGTGTAAAAGTAACACTGAAACAGTGTTAAGTTAATGAGATAATTATGTGATTAATTAAGTGCTGATTCAGCATTAGTGATGAACAGCTGCTGTTAACAAGCAGAATCGCTGAAGAAAAGAGAAACAAGAATTACAACTGACTTCAGCCACAGACTTAGATAAAAGTAACTGAAATAAAAGAAGACATTAAATCTCTCAAGAGCTCAGCAGAAGATCACCAGCTTCACACATTACTAACCAGTTTGACTTTTTGTTTGTCATGCGTCTAAAAATGTCTTATTAAGAATTAACAGAGGTTTAGATGTTAATGTTTATTGAAAATAATACAATTTGAAGTCAATGATGTAGAAGTAGACATTGATCTGATTCTGCAGAGGTCGTCTTTCATTGCACCATTACGTTATAATGTGGCAAAATCTGAAACAAGTCATTTTCTGAGCTTGGTTTCAATAAAAGCTGTTTTTGGACTAACAAGGAAGTTTTCAGCTCTGAAACGTACAGGATTTTAACTTTTATAATGACCTCTTAAATGTCAAAAAATCAAGGAAAATTTGATTTTTTAATTACATTTCTTTAGACAAGTTTACATATTTAGATTTTTATTTTATATTTATTTTATTTATTTATTTATTTGAGTGATTTCTTAACAGTTTTTTTAAATTTACATTTTATTAGGGCTGTCAGTTTAACGCGTTAACTTAATTAGTTATGAAAAACAACGTGATTAAAATATTTTTACGCAGTTAACACACTGGCCCCGCCCCCAGACCTGTACGTCATCTTACATTTCATGCAGTTGACTGTTGACAAATATGCCCTAAAATTCAAGATATTGGGACAAAAAAAATGCCCCTGTATGAGTTTTTGTCTTATATTTATATCACATGATAAGTGATATCACACGAGTAGTGAGAACAATATCACATGAGTGCTGTTTTTGTCACGAATAGCACGAGTGCAAATGTGATTTTATACAGCAGTTCAGTAAAAAAAAGAATAATATTGCGTTATATTTTAAGCATGATATTGTGTTGTAGCTCAATTTTTCCATCAAAAATATTACCTATAAAGTCACCACAGAACTGTTGTGTGTCTGTGAGCAACATAGCGGTGATTAGTTTCTGTATGACGCCTCGCTTTGAAAGAATCATGTGAACCAATGATTCAAAGGCCCAATCATAGTGAGAGCCATTTGAACGAATTGAATGAATGAATGAATGACGCATAAAAACATTTACCGCCACCTGCTGGCAGATTTATCTTCTTATTTAGAGTATAATTTTAGTTAAATTTTCAGTTCAATCAGGTCTCACCCTCATGTCCTTTCAAAGAAGGACTTACTTTAGCAAAATAAAATAAGGTGTTTTGAAGACTACTGGTAACAAAGCTGTTCTGGTTACCAGTGTCTTTCATTGCATGAAAAAATACTGCCATGTTTCTCAAATAATTTTCTGTCATGTACCATATAATTTATGTTAGGCCGTTGTAGCCTAAATGTTTATGTGTAATACATTTTATGTTGAATCAAATAAAATATTTATTTCTAAAGCTACTATTTTCAATGTCTACTTGATACTTTCTCATCTCACAATATTAGCTTTAAATAATCTGTTGTGGGTATTTTCACTGCCAAATTTATTTTGCGGTTAATTCGATTAATTAATCGCTGCACCATGTAATTAATAAGATTAATAATTGTAATCGACTGACAGCCCTACATTTTATTTATTTAGTTTTACACTTATATAAATTGTAGTAGGTTTACATCAGGGAATAAAAACAATTAAAAGTTTGACAAACTGAACAGAAGAAATTAACTGGAGAATATTTCCACATCAAAGGCGGCAGAGCCAAAGAGCACAACTATGTATTACATAATCACCATGGACTAATCATAGTTCGAAAACATTTAACAGCGATAACTAGATTTTCTGGAAAGTTCACTTTTGCACGTTTTTTTTTTTTTCAAACTCCTGAAATAAATTCTAAATTAACTTAATTGCGCTCGGAAAATTACATCACAGAATTAGTTCTTTGAATTTGCCTTATGTTTAGGGTATTCAGTGTCACAGTTACTTTAACCATCACTAACTTACATTTGAGGTTTAAAGTTACAGCAGAGTATTTCTCTCCATGTTGATTTCTGGACTTGCACTTGTATTCTCCACTGTGATCAGAGCTGATCTTTGAGATGCTGTAGATTCTTCCAGATCCTACAATCGTTCCTCCTTTAAACCAGCTGATTTCTGCAGGTGGGTTTGAATCACTGCTGCAGCTCAGAGCCACTGAATCTCCCTCCATTATTTCACCAGATGGACTGATGGACACTGAGACGCTCTTGGGTGGGTCTAAAAGGGAAAAACAGATTTCATTAAATATCAGAAAGATTACATCACATACTATGTTTAAAATGTCTAAAGGCTAATATGTAAGTTTTACCACTAGGGGTCGCTTATTCAAAACAATAACAAAGACACACTGCGTCCCAATGTTCACACTGTCCATACTTAATAGTATGTGAGACGGATGTGCGCGACCGACGCTTAAGTAGAGAGGTTTAGATAAAGGGGTTTGAGTATCTAATAATCAACAGTTAACCTGGTAAAAATGTTTATTTAATGTTATCTATGTTATATTTAATCTACAACAAAAATATTAACTTTACATCTGGTTGGCCATTAACTTTTAAAAGATCATTCTGCAAAAAATATGAGCAGAGTTCTCCACATAAAGACCCACGGCTGCGAGATCAACATGCTTCTACTTTTCTCTCCAATACGGTAGGAAGTTAAATGAAATGAAATGTGGAGGATATAAACTCTGAGAAGATGATTGACAGGCTAGGTTACAGTGACAGGGTGTGTGTAACTATGCGACAGATCGGTCCGTTAAAGACACAGTTGTGTGACGTAATAGTATGTCCCAAAGCTTGCCTACTCTTCTACGACACACTCAAAAGTGTGTTACCAAAAGAGTACATACTTTAAGGGCGTAGAATAAGTAGGCACACTGGGACGCAGCAATAGCTTGATGACACAGTGACGGAGTATGGGATCATGGGAGTTGTCGTGTTCCACTCTGCAGTCATTTCTGCTTTAAAGGGTTATTTTTGATGACATAATCTGCAGTAAATGATAATTAATATTTTTTGTCCATCACAAATGTGTAAAACAAACAACTGTGGCTTGCTAGATGCTACCAGAGATCGCCGGCTTTGATGACACAACAACTACTTCCACATTTTTACAGGAAGCGCACTGTTTCCATGGTGTATACTGACAACCGAGGGTAGGGGGAATAAGACGTCATTGACAGGCGATGCAAAGACACGGCCCATTTCACTGGTTAAAACTGTGAATTTCTCTAGATTTAAACATAAATCAATGAAATATTTGGGATAATGTAAGTTCACATGTCAACAATACATATAACATTGTTCTAGTGGATTTTGTATATGTCAATGCAAAAATAAGTATTGTACCTACAATGTCAAAGTTACTGAACCATCATTAACTCACACATGATGTTTAAAGTCACAGCATCAGAGTATGTCTCTCCATGTTTATTTCTGGACTTGCACTTGTATTCTCCACTGTGATCAGAGCTGATGTTTGAGATGCTGTAGATTCTTCCAGATCCTACAAACGTTCCTCCTTTAAACCAGCTTATTTCTGCAGGTGGGTCACTGCTGCAGCTCAGAGTCACTGAATCTCCCTCCACTATTTCACCAGATCCAGTTATGGACACTGAGACACTCTTTGGAGGATCTTAAACAGACAAAATTGAAGTTCAGTTACAGACACAAATTCTACAAGTAAAAAAAGAAAGAAAAGAAAGGCAAGGCAAGTTTATTTATATAGCACATTTCGTACACAATGGTAATTCAAAGTGCTTAACATAAAAGAAAGTAAAATAATCATTAAAAAAATAATCACAAGAATAATATAAGGAATTTAAAAACTTTGAAAATGATTTAAAAATTGATTTAAAATAAATTTAAGACAGTTAAAAGTAGAAAATGATTATACATACATAAAATACAGTGCAATCAGTTCGGACATCGCAAAGTGCTCATTCAGTAAATGCACAGCTAAACAGATGAGTTTTGAGTCTGGATTTAAATGTGACTAATGTTTTAGCACATCTGATCTCTTCTGGAAGCTGATTCCAACTGCGGGCGGCATAATAACTAAAAGCAGATTCCCCTTGTTTTGTGTGAACCCTTGGTATTTCTAACTGACTCGATCCTAATGATCTGAGTGGTCTGTTAGGTTTATATTCAGTGAGCATATCTGTGAAGCATTTAGGTTCAAGGCCATTGAGTGATTTATAAACGAGTAAAAGTACTTTAAAATCAATCCTAAATATAACTGGAAGCCAGTGTAAGGACCTGAGGACTGGTGTGATATGTTCAGATTTTCTGGTTCTATTCGGAATCTAGTCGGAGAAAGAAAGAAAGAAAGAAAGAAAGAAAGAAAGAAA